TGCTAAACTGTTCTACTGAACAAGGCTATGGAGGTTGGCAGGGCTGACCAGCTGCCAGGTCAATGATCAAGTACTATACAAACGATGCGTGATTTAACACCACACGTGTTGCGATGGCCTCTTTGGATAAGCCCTTGGTCTCATCTTTGTACATTCGATGACTGGAATTCTTGGCCAAGGACTTGTTTTGCACTATTTTTTTGAAAATGTTCCCTGCACTCTCTACATTCCCACGTAGCTAGGATACCTATTTGCTAAAAACTTGCCCCCTGTGGCTAATTTGATCCCCAGAACACTAATATCACATTCATCCAGCGCAAAAACGCTTGCGTCGTGTGCTACGGGCTTTTGCAAACCCTCGTCCTCTTTGGTCACAGTCGCTCATATAGATGGCGACCCGGAATGCGAACACGATATTTTTATGAGAAATGACTGTAGTTTAACATCTCTATGGTCTAGATAACCTTTGGTTCCAAATTTGCGCTAATTTGGGAGTTTCCTTGTTCCTTACATGCATGACGAAAACAGGGGGATGAGGTCAAAAACCTACATAACTCCTTCAAACACATCAAATGGTATACATCGCACCTCGAATGGCCACTTCGACCAAACATCATTTCTTGGTGAGCCACAGCGCCTATATCAAACAAGTAAAACACAGCGTGGGGACAAACTCATGACACACCGAGTACGTCATGCGGTCCGGAACCTGTGAAAAGTGGCTTGACCTTCAATAACGCATGGCTCATGAGTGAACCGTTAAGGTTTGCCTTGCGGCGACGCGCCGTCACTAATACCGTGTGGGACATTCGCGGAACCGATTTGAAGAAGACGTGACGTAGTGGGGTGACGGTAAACGGCATAATCGCACTCCAGCATCGGCCTACGGCCTCGTCGTCAACTATCATCACCAGCGAGTAACATCTTAAGTTGACTACTATGAACTCAACATGGGAATATCACCACACTATACTCACAAAAGCATCGAATCTTGTATAATAATGTTGATGATGTGGCGTTTCCCACTAAATTTCCGTTGAACTGGAGGTAAAGTCCTGTAAGGAGGAACAAACGCCTTCTCATCATGTTTAGGCACCTCGCAACGTGGGGACATTTCCCTCTACCCGCTTCCTTAACTTTAAGCATTCTGCGCTCGAAATGGCTTCTTCAAGATCTGAGCAGTTGGAAACAGCTTCTGTACACTTCATCAATGTCGTAGCAATTCAATCAATTTGGCACGTTCATTTTGCGGGTCCTGCAGTTACATGCCACATTAGAATGTGGCATTTGTGAGTGATATATACAGTAGAGGCGGAGGTGGTGTAGTGACAAGTGGCGCGCTTACCACTCGCGCGGCGCCGGGTTCGAATCCCGGGTCGACACCCGCCCAGGCCAACCAAGCCTTCTACCCTCCGGGGACGGTAAATTGGTACCAGATTCGTCTGGGAGGATAAAACACTGACTTGTACATCGGCTGGCCACCGCAAGTCATTGTATAGGCCACATCGCATTCAATAAGCCACTACGATTCTGAATGGAAGTAGAATGCGTGCCGCATCCCACAAAGGGATTGATCAACGGCGAAGACTTTATCCTTTTATCCTTTATATACAGTACGCCTCCAGCAATGAGAAGTATAGGGCACCTTTATACGCAACGCTTCTGACAAAGTACCCTATCTGGGGAAACGGTGGCAGGAGGTGTACGCATTGATTTATGCCTTGAACTTTCAACGGGTTGGTTCAGATAATTCCCGGTTGACTCAGTGGAGCCGTTCTGGTGAAGCATTTTGGCCAGCTTTTGGATTTGACCCCATCAAGTTGGTTGAGTATGGCGAGACTTTCTACATTCCTTACAGTGATTGACATCTGAAAAGTGATTACACACACTGGAGATCAAAAGGGTTCACTTCGCTCTTGAATGGGTGATTTTGTTAACTAAGTGTACATTATAATAGCCAGCATTGTGCAAGTCATTCAAAGCGTTTCGAATTGAAACATCTATTTTGCTTCCTTTGAACTTCGTCAGGTGCGCGCCTGATTTTCGATTATGCAAAATACGAGCCGCTTTCATACTTCGCGGTTGTGCGATCGTATGAGCGCGCGTCTTCAGGGTAATCGTGCCGGGACCGCGCGCCGGATGCTCAAGTGCGATTTTGTCGTTTACCTTACGTCCTATAGTATGTCGAGTCAATTAGGTAGCACATGCTGTGCCTAGTTTTTGTGTATATGCTCCGCCTAGTTTCGTCGCAAGTGCTTCTTTTGAGATATAGCCCTACCAGTCGGATCCAGATAGAGCCAGCTAAAGAGAAGGAGGAGAGCCCGGCTGACGCCGAGCTGTCCTCCTTCTCTTTAGCCGGATTGGCTTCGCCAGGCACACTTCATAATGGAAATGGAATTTGTTCATTCACTTAGCTACTCATACTGCGCTGTTTTGATCGTATCGTAATAGATGGAGCAACCCACGCGCGAGCTCACGTCCAGCTGCCACGCGAGCTGCTTGTGCAAAGGCTCGGAGTGTACTAAAGACTGCATTATCCCAGGGTATCACGACCAAAACTACATCATAGCCTGTTACTTTAACCGTATTAGCTTGCAGTTTGCTAGCGGTTGCATCCTCCTCTCTTACTGCGTGCTCTACTCCAGCGTGCGCTTTGCACCCTCCGCCCCCCCCCATCTCACTGTTCCCCCCTTATCCAACCTCTTTCCCTGCTTCATCACCCTAAGCGTGCTCAGGTCCGCAGACGGGCAGGGGAAGGAAGCAGATCGCACAGGTCACTTGGTAACCCCCTCCCTCCACCCGCCCTGCCCCGCACGAGCACACGTCCAGCTGCCACGCGAGCAGCTCGTGCAATGGCTCGGAGTGTACCGAATGGTTGTCTTATATAGCGGAGGCTGTTATCAAATCAAAACATTGGATTGATACATCTGCACCAATCGGTTTCCGGTTTGTTTAGCGGTCGCATTCTCCTCCCACTAACTGTTCAAACCCGTGAAGTTTGAGGACGGACAACATACAATACATACATAAAATACATACATACATACATACGTACAGACCCAAACCTACACACAAAGTTGGTGCTTTACAGAATAGAAGGAAGGCTATGGGAAACGGAAGATTGGATTATTACCTCATGAGCAAAGGCGCAGAAGAGGACGAAAAGCAACTGAGCGATCAGTACTGGCCCTCCAATTGCCATTCGCTGGCCAATCAGCTGCAATAAGCCCATGCTTACTACCAGTAGCGCTAAGGCTTTGAAGCGAGCTCTGAAAACAGAGCGGTATTACTATGCGTATCTAGTTACTGTCCACTGCATAAATTAGATTCTTGGTCCGCTTCCTTTATTAATCCTTTGAGCAGTAACCGCATCAAACTTGACATCTTCTTCCACCATCCGCACCCTGGGATCTACTTCAGCGGGAGAGCTAGATATACTCTTATTAGAGTACTGATAATGAGAGCTATAAAAGTGAAGAAGCGATAATCAGCCCTCTCGTTGACCTTATTGGTGGGCCATAGAAACTACAAATTGGACAGTGATATAGTGGGTGCACAGGAACATTACTGCTTGCTAACAGGAAGTGATAACAGTTGATAATACTTGATCAGGGGCTCCAGAAAGGAGGGGCAACCGAAATTCATAGCGCCGGTCGCAGCAACGGTGCGACGTTTGTTTCAAGATGTGTAGGGTATGGGACACTTATTGATGGGTGACAGGAACGTTATCACAGCTGATGAGATCTGATAAAATGCCGGTAGCCAGTTCCAAAAGATGATATTATAGATGGTACGGAATAATTACTAGATTCGATAAGAGGTCGTGGAACCGGAGGCTCGCCAAATTCATAGCATGCGTGACACCAACAGTGGGAAGGTGGTTTCCTCTGGCAATATAGGGGGGAGCACTTGGGGCAGTAGATGCAAGGCACGATAAATCGATGCCCGGTCCCAAATTGTACCAGGGGTGTATGTAGTGGCAAAATGACGAAAAAGCGAAGTGAAGCGGTCAAAAACCTGCGAAAAGCCCTTTGGTCTACACTACCCAAAATGCAATTTGGGACGAGTTCGCTGTTGGCATTGTGAGAGTTACAGGTACGGTAAATACGGCTGCATGTATTTACTCATATACCGCAGCACCGCAGCCGCTTCATATCAATCCCATCCCTTCGCTTCATTTTGCACATCGCAAATGAAGCGATACGAGTACTAGCATCAGTCGTGATTGGGCGCGCGGGCGTGGTGCGCGTGGTGGGTTTCAGGTTCGGTATGTTGCTTTTTGATAGGGCGCTACGAGAGTACCTTCCTGGAGAGAGGCGCTGCTGAGTGGAGCTGAACTCTGTCCTGCTAGGTGTGCTTATCTTACTCGTCTTCTACATTTGTCGCGCCAACTGCCTCTAAATTGAGCTCTTTAGCAAGGACCCAACCATCGGGTTTCGCCGGTCTGGCTCTATAAAAGTACCTCCTTTCGCCAGGCTCTGCATTGTGGTAGAGCTACCGTGTGGCTAGTCCTTCGGTCAAAACCCCCAGAGATGTTGGAATGTTCGCGGTCAGTCAAAACGGAGTGGAGAATCGAAGTCAAATCATCGTCAGTCCCAACTGATTATCAGCTAGCATCTGTCTGAAACCAGGGGGTGGATCCGCTCATCCAGTTAAGGCCTGCTCTACATCACACGAAGACTCTCGGAACATTAATCTGAAGTTTATGTCAAAACGATGAACTCTCACTGGGCTACAGCGGATGACTCCGTGCTAAAGGCTGTGACCCGATCTTAGTGAGCTGCTGTTGAAAACTCAGTTATGAGTGGAATTTTTCATCGTTTTCCCAAAAGCAGTTTATTGGGTTGTACATCGACATCTACAGTACTAACTGTAAGTCATTGGTGGATGAAGTCCCGTTGGAATGCCGCTAGGCTCATCAGAATGCCTTGCTCCTTTCCGTTTCCCTGCTGTATAATAATACAGTGAGCACAAGTGGAATATTAACAGTTTATTAGTAGTTATACTGACCGAATATTGACCGAATATATTACTTCTGGGCCCGAGGGCGGCGGAGGTCCGTGGGGTGAGTGTGTCCGACGTCGATGTCCAGCAGGACCGTCCTCCAGTTGCCTTCCAATCCCGCATGCCTCGTCTCCTCGCCTTTTGTACTGCTCCGCCTCCTGTAATCAGCAAGCGTCATCGATGAAGCTGAGCTCAATATCGATTCTTCACTTCCCTAACTCTTACACCTCCCCCCTTTCACAAAAACGTCCGTCCTCGGACGGAGAAATATGAAAAATAGAGAAAAGAAATTGGAAGGAAGTAGAAATTACTCACCGGAAGTATCGACGGAAAGAGCTAAAGAAATAAATCCGGTAGAGAAGAGCGGCTGATGATCACTTCACGGGTGGCTGCAAAGCGGAGAAGGCGATGCCAGTTGGGGAGGCAGCGGAGGGCCTCTACTCGTCCTAAGATAAACAGGCCATGACGGCACCGTGTGAGGGCTACGTTGAGTCGCCGGAGATCGTCGAGGAAGTCGCCAGAGGAGCGATCGATGTTGGTCCGAGTGGTGAGTATGATCACGATGTCCATCTCGTGACCCTGAACAGAATCGACCGTGTGTAGACGAACGCCGAAGCGAGTTGCGCTGCGTTCGAGCATCCGCTGTTGATCCTTATAGAATGTTATAATTGCGATCGATGAAGCAGGGATGTTCTTGTCGAGAAGAGCTTGAACAAGGTCGACTGTGCAGTTGGCTTCTTCATCATTGGAGTGCGACTGTCGTGGTGAGAAAGAGCGGGAACGACCATCCACATCGACGACCACGAGAGGAAGGGACGGGTTCGGCAGAGAAAGCCGCTCTGTCACAAGGGTTCGTTGACGAGCGGTAATCCCGCTGCGGAGTGAGCCATCGTAGACCAGTATGTTGGGCAACTCG